GACCTTTATTTTGCCTTGAACCCTGGAGGTTGGGGACTCCTTTTCAGTAGAAAAATGAGTGCTTATGCACAAAAGCACTGGTGAGTAAGAGGCTCTTGCTCCCTCTAACCAGAAATGGTGCCAGGACGCTCTCTCAAGGACAGGTAGCACCCTCAGTAGGTGTTCTTTTAGGGTAGCACCATGCCCCATCCCTGATTGGATGAGATTCTGAAGATCTCACTTGCTAAAGAAGACACAAAATAAGGATGAGCCTCCATCCACTGTCTTGAGCACCTGGCATGGGAAACCTCAATCCTGAGACACAGTGGCGAGAACCGGTCTCCAGGTCACACTGGAGAAAGCAATCTCCAAAAGTATACAGTAAAACTCCGATTTACAAACAAGTTCTGTTTCAGGAGAATGTTTGTAAGTCGGATTCATTTGTAAGTCTGACAAAGTGAGTCTTCCACACCTTTCACACAAATACACAGTGTAAAGCATAAAATAACCAAACATACAATACACAGATACTGTAAATAAACTTTTTACTTTTATAGTTACCTTAAAGTGGTTGTACAATACAGTACACAACTGTCAATAAACTGTAAGCACACAGCAGCACAACTGTCACAAAGTCTGGCAGACACATGAACCACCTCCACAATTTGATCACATCTGTGAATGTTTGTGATGTGAGGTTTGTGTCTGTGAAAGATCACAACTCACATGTTCATGAATCAGGGACTTACTATATATACTTGCAAGTCCTGAACACTTTAGCCACCTCTCCCGGGCTAACAGTGGCTCAGATGGTATCATAATTACTTTTCTTATTGCTGAGACCAAATACCGGACACCTGAAATTAAAGGAGGAAAGGTTTATCATAGCTCAGAGTTTGTAGAAGATTCAGCACATAGTTGGCTGGCTTTGAGGCAGGATGGCATGGCAGAGGGGCATCCCAGAGCAGGCAGGGAGAAGGCAGCAAGCAGCAAACAACAAGAGATGCACCCAGGATGAGGCACCCTTAATCCTACCCCAAACTATGCCAAACCTATCAGTGACTGATTTAGTAATCACACACCCTTAATCCCAGCATCACACACTCTAGATCCAGCCACCTCTGAGAAAGCCCTACTGTCGGAGACCAGAGGAGAACTGAGGCCTAAATGGCCTCCTCTGTGAGCACAAAGGAGAAAGGCTGCACTCAGAGGTGACTGCACAGTGCAGGTTCTAGGGAAAAGTTAGGACAGCCGAGGATGTTAACCAGAGAATGTACTAGTGGATATTGGAAAGCAGGCAAATCTTTTGTTACTTTGAGTGCTTGTACCCAAGTTTGGGTGAACAAAGACAAGATGAGCCAGACATGGGGTTGTGTGTGGGGGGGGTCCTCTGCCTGCTAATAGGCAAGAGTCCCTGGCTGCGGTAAATTAAACTTTGTCATTCATCCTGGTTCACCCTTGGCTCAGGGAGAACAAAGTAGTGGGTCTAGGTCCTAGAACAAGGCCAGCTGAATGGGTTGGTGGTGTCCCAATATAGGGCTTGGGACTGGCCTTGCCTACAGTTGGCACCTGGACAGGGACATGGGCTTGGCTGCACCCCACCTATGACTGTGTGAGGCTTTGGTGGGAGCATCTAGACACAAGCCATAACAGATGGCCTTTCTAGTTTGTTTGGTCTCTTTCCCTAGGGATGAGTCCTATACCCAGTTCTTAGACTGCCACCCACCAGGCTCCTCATCATTAAACTTTCCTCAGCTCTTTGGAAGTGAGCAAGCTCCACCTCCTCTACTTGCAAAGGTTGGGAAAAAAAACTTATCAGAACTCAGAGGCCTCATTTCCCTGTGTAGTGGGTCATGACTGAAGACCATTGGTCAAATTATTCAACTCTGTCAGCCAGAGTCCCCAGGAGGCACCTGTGCAGGAACATTTTTCAGGGTTTTATTGAAGGAAGCACTTACTACCCCTCCTTAGGCATACCATGCTGTTAACTGCATTAAAGAAACAGTACAAGATATGAATGATCACTTTAGTAAAGAATTAGTATGAAAAGGAATCGAGCAAAAATCCTGGAGATGAAAAACACAATTGAAAGCCATGCCAACAGACATGATCAATCAGCAGAGACTGTCAGAACTTGAGAACAAGAATGATGTAGCAGATCAATTATTCAGTAATACTCTAAAAACAAGAAACCACCGTAGATTGATTCAAGAGCTCCTATATGACTCTAAAAGAACAAGTCTAAGAATTGTAGATGTCAGGAAGGGCTGGAGAGAGAAACTAATGGCATAGAAAATTTATATACTGAAATCATTGCAGAAAAATTTCCAAATTTAGAGACTAAAATGGATACCTAGGTAAATGAGGCATTTAGAAACCCAAATACATATGACCAGAAAACAACATCTCCATGACCTACCATAGTCAAAATCCCAGAGGTTCAGAAAAAAAGAGAATATTTAAAGCCATTAGAGGAAAACATCAGGTAACTTATAAAGACAAGCCTACCAGAGCAGCAGATTTGTCAATTCAAATCTTAAAAGCCAAGAGAGCTTAGAGTGAAGTTTTTGAATCATAAAAAAGAACAACTGTCAACCTAAGATTTCACACAATTATCCTTCAAAATTGATGGCGAAATAAAAATCTTCCATGATGGGGTGGGGATTTAGCTCAGTGGTTCCACCACCTGCCTTGCAAGCACAAGGTCCTAAGTTCAATCCCCGGTACCAAAAAAATAAAATAAAATAAAAATCTTCCATGACAAAGAACATAAAGAAATTTATGTCCACCAAATCATCATTGTAGAAAATTCTCAAGGGAATTCTAAACGGAGAAAGTGAAGCCAACATCACCAAAAAGCCCTAAGGAAAGAATACATTTATCTGGGAGAGTAGTTAAATAAAAATTAAATGAGTAAAAATGGTTAAGATGCAGCAGGGATACACACCTATTCCCCATAATGAATGCATTCATTATGTATTGCAGACATGTACTAATAAGAAACAAAGTGGCAAGAATGATGGGATAAGTATGTTTGAAGTAAAGGGAAGTGTTTTGAAGGGAACTAATGGCTTTATCCTAGGCTTGCAAGGATGATACAACATATGTAGATAATAAATCTCATACACCACAAATAGAAGGATAAAAATCACATGATCATCTTAATAGATACAGAAAAAGCCTTTGACAAATCCAACATCATGATTTTTAAAAACTCAGATGAAAATAGAAATAGACCTTACTGCAAACTAAGAAAAGTCACTTATGACAAGTTCACAGACAACATAATACTAAATGGGGAAAAAATTGGACGTATTCCCTCTGAAGTCAAGAACAAGACAAGAGTGTCCACTCTCCCCACACCTGTTGAACATAGTACTCAAATTTTAGGCAAAGAAATGAAAGAAATACACTGGACATGAATAGAAAAGGAAGAAGTCAAATTACCTTTATTTGCAGATGATATTATCCTTCACATAAAAGACCCAGAAAACTCCACCAGAGCACTCATAGAGGTAATAGATAAATTAAGCTAAATGGTTGGTAGTATACAAAATCAACACACAAAAATCAATAGCAGGGGACAGGGATTTAGCTCAGTGGTGCCACTACCAGCCTCTCAAGCACAAGGTCCTGAGTTTGATTCCCAGGGCAAAAAAATACATATACTTGTAAACCCACGGAATAGAATAGAATAGAATAGAATAGAATGGAAGACACAGAAACAGTCCCATGCACTTTTAGCCATCTACTGTGAAGGGCCAAATACAAATGCTTGAGAAAAGAGAGCTTCCTTAACCAATGGTGCTGGGAAAGCTGTTTATCCAAATGCAGAAGAACAAATCTAGACCCATATCTCTCACCTTCAGGTCAGAGTGTCTACTTCATTTTTCTGCTTTCATACATAAGAATATCTACAGTCTCCCATCCTCTTCCAGAATACATTGTGGCCTTTCTTTTGTGATGAAAGTGGCCTGTTCTTCACTGCACAAAACCACATGGCATACCAACCATCTAGTACCATCCTCTTCATTCTGTTCTCTGGCGTGCAGTAAAAACCAAATCAGGCCTATGTGTCACAACTGCTATAACCTGGTCTCCAGTTCTCCGTGTGAAAATGTTTGAGCAACAACTCCATGCCTTTCTTGCACACTCAATTTTCAGAATACCTCAGCTCAAATCCAGGTGTAGGAATTAAAAAGCCCACTAAGAAAATAGATCCAAATAGAATACTTAACATCACTGGAGCAGACTTCCCCAAGGACAATGAATACTTACCTTGCATTTGCTTGACCAAAGAGATCACTAACCCTCTCAAAACACAAGGAATGTCCTCTCAAACTTACTCCTACTGTCCCACCCAAGAGGGCAGGAACTGCTTATGTGTCCCCAGTTGGCAATTTCCAGCTCCATGTATGTGAAGATTTACCCTCTAGTTGGCAATATATTAAAGGCTTTATAGCTCCTTCCCTCTGTCTATTCCTGATTCTAGTCCTAATATTCTTCAAGGCAGCAAAAAGTCTTACACATAAAACTTGAATATATGGAAATGTTAAAACTTGTAAGCTATGTAATTCTCATAAGCATTGCAGTGGTGCTTGAGATATTTTATGATCTATTTTTTTAATAGAAACTTGATCATTTTAGCTTAAACCCATGTCTCCACATATAGTTGTATTGGATATGAAAATAAGTAATCATTTTTAGCTTTGATGACAGGCAGTGACTGATAAATCAGTTCTTAAAAGAGGGAGTCCCTCCAGTTATCCTAAAGGCTAAAATAACTATGTGAGTTTAGTTGCTATAAGTCAGCCTTTTAAAGTTTAGAGACTTCTAATACTGATAAAACGGGCTTGTGAAGTTGAAGACCAGACCTCATATGTATGATAAGTTCCCAAGTTGCAGCCAACATATGAGGTCTTTCCTGAGCCATCATCACCTGGTGCCTTCCCCCACCCCCACATGTCTTTGGCAATAGCAGCCCACATGTACCATTAAGGACACTTTTTTCACTAAATAACAACAAGGACATTTTAATCAAGTGTAACTTGAGTGAACAGTCCTCTCAACAGAATATTTTATCCATTAGGGTTCACTAGCAGGACAGAATATATATGCTTTACCAAGTAGTCTTACAGTGGAATCAGAGTAGGAGAATGCAAAATTGCTGCCTGTGTGCTGAAGAGTTGGAGGATCCAGTGGAAAGTCAAAGGCCTGGAGCTCACTTCAGAGTCTGGTGTGAGTCCATGTTGGAAGGCTGAAGGGTTTGTTGGAAGGCTGAAAGAACTGGAGATGAACATCCAAGGGTGAGGACAAACACTGGAGCTCCTCGAAAGAAGCAAAAAGGAAAGACTTCCCTCTCCTTTCCCTTTTTACCCCATCCAGGCTACATGCCTATTGGTTAGTGCCATACACATCTGAGGTACACGTTCCCTTCTCAGTTAGTGCCAACATGCCAATCATCCACAGACACACCCAGAGCTGTGTTCCACTAATCTGCTAGGCCTTTTTAATCCATGTAAATTGACATCACAGTTAACTATCACAATCATCCTCATGTTCATTTTTAGCTCTTGATCACTTGCTGCTGCTGCTGCTATTGGTTATCAGTCACTGAGTCATTACTAAATATTAATCTCTGTGATGTACTCATATCTATGCATATGATCTCTAATATTTAAGAAAATACTGTGTGGTAGGCATTGTTTTCTATTTTGTATGATAACATACAAGTTTGAAAGTTTGTATGATAACATACAAGTTTGAACACACAAGTTCAAAAAGGTTAAATGCCTTGCCTAAGATCACAAAGAAGTAAGTGACATACCTGGAATCCAAATGCAAAGGTGTCTAGCTCCAACCTTTTCCTCTTGCTTTTTTTCTTTCTCAGGATCATCAGAGAATAAATACTAGTAGCCACCTATATAAATCAGAATCAAATAAAGAGAAATACCACAGGGAAATTTGAATAAGGAAAGTTAAAAGAATTATTAACTGCAAGAGGGGATTGGATTAAGGTGAAATTGTCTAGTAAAAAGTAAAGGAGAACTCTGACAACTCAGTGAAAAGACAAGCAATTCATTCTTCTTAAAGTGGGCAAACAATCTGAGCAGATATCTGTTTTATATCTAGATGCCCTCCCCAAGGCCCCATGCATTCATAGACAGGCCTTTTGGGAAGCCACTGAGCTATGAAGGTTTATAGCTGACTTGCTGTTAGGAAGTAAGGTCTGGTTGGAATAGGTGGGTTGCTGGAGGCGTGGCCTGGAAGGGTTTCTCTGCCTCCCCAGCTCTTCCCTAAAATCTCTCTCTTTCTGGTGTACCATGCCACGAGCAGTTCCCCTCTATCATTTCCCTCTGCCATGCCACCCTGAGCCAGCATGAAGGAGACTATTAAAACGCAAGCCAAAGCAAACCTCCTCTTTAAATTGCAGCTGTCATGCTAAAGTGACTAAGACAATATTTTGCCAAAGTTATAGGAATGGTTAGTAAGCACATGAAAAGATAATGTCACGTTTGCCCTTCCTGAAAGTAGCAGTTGCTACTTCACTCCAATTGTATGGGCAATGCGGTCCTGACGGAAGTTACCAATCTTTGGATTTTTCCAAAAAGGTTAGAAATTCAAATTTGTATCTAAAATTCTCTTCTTCAAAGTTGGAAACCACAGAATACTGTTAGAAACATTACATAGGTCAAATAAAGCATATCTACAGGACTAACATCACTTGCTTGTGACTCCCACCTTAAGAGATTTTTATATCTGAAGAAGACATGGTATAATTGGCTTTCTAGGATGTTTCTGGGAGCAATGTACACAGTCTGAACTGGAAAGGAGGGGGCAAAGCCAGGGAAAAACAAGTTCAGACCCAGGTATGGAGAGGACCTAGACTAAGGAGTTGGCAGGGGAGCAGACCATGCCATATATATCCCCCTTCTGTAAATTATCTGGACAAAACTCCATCCGAGATGGGATTTCTGTAGCATCGTTTTCCAAAGGAGCTCAGCACAGTTTAAATGCTGTCTACATTACAAAATCTACTCATCTACTGATATTTGCCTACACATTCCAGCCTGCCCCCACCAGGTGCCTGAAAGACCCCGGCACTACTCATATGGCACCGATGAGGAAACTGCTGGCTAGCACCACAATTGCCATTATCTCACTCTGTTACCTTAGGCAAACGGCAGGCACTTGGAGTCTGTGGCTCCACCTGGGGAATGCTCTGGACAACATGACCGCCTCAGAGACAGTGAAAGGGAACGACGAGGAAACATTTGAAAGCTTCCCTCCTACTCACCCACCACATATAAATTATTAAGGAGACCAACCTGAGTCAAATGGAGCTATGGAAGCTTCATTGTTATGCATTGTGTGTAGCAGTCTCTTGAGTATTCTGCTCGCTTGGTTTCTAATTTCCTTTTCTTACATCAGCCTTTCTCCCTCAGGAATCTTGCATCTCAGTGTTCTGCTCCTGGAAGTTCCTAACACCCCATCCATGGTTAGTCTACACCTGCAAACCTCGCAGGCACCAAGTGGCACTGTGCATGGCTATCGCTCATGAAAGCAGGTGACACCCTTCTGCCTCCACCTCCTGAAGGGGCTGCTGCCTGAACGGCCAGTCAGGGAGGGAAAGGCAGGAAGGCAGGAGAGGGTACTGAGGAAGGGAATCCTCCTACTCATCCCTCTTCCTCTCCTGGGCACCCAAGGAGACACTCTCCAGACATTTTTCTTAAATCAAGCAAGCACCCACCCAGGGGTGTGTGTGTTTGTGTGTGTGTGTGTGTGTGTGTGTGTGTGTGTGTGAATCTGACCACCTGCTGATCTATGACATAACAGAATTATGACTTCCAGTCCCCCAGGAACGACCCTTAGCTGAAAACTGGCATCACGCGCCCTCTAGTGGAAGTCAGAGGTGCCCCCTCCCCATGAGGCAAATCCTCAGGTCCTGCTGAATTGGGCACTCAGAGGGCTTAGGAGATGATGCCAAGAGAAAGACCAGTTGGTGTCTTTAACACCAATAACAGAGGGAAAGGATTCCATTAGCGTCAAGAGGAATTTCATGTATGAGCAAATGTGTGCCACTCTAACGAGGCCACCTTTCTCCGCAGCACCCGTGTGCTCGGGAGGGACCAACGGTGATTTCAAACCTGGAAGGAGCATATCGTGAGCTCTGCCGATTTCTCTGGCATCTGCTCCAAGCACAGAGGCCCAGGCTTTAATTTGCTCTCCCTTTTACCCCTGCCTTTGAAGCAGATACTGATGTTTAAAGTGGTACCACACTTATCTTTGTGTTCCTAGTGCTTGGACTGAGTTTATGTTGCTGTAAGTTTGCTAACTACAAAAGATGAGGAACATTTCAGGGGGATCGTGATTGAGGCTGTATTTCAACCACGCTGCTTTCTTTGAGTTGCTCTGATCCCCAGAGCTTCCGCCAGATATCAAAAGAAGGTTGGTGCTGGATTCAGTATTTTATACCCTGACAGCCAGTGTGGTATAACGGGGAAATCTGGACGTCAGGGTCAGACCCAACAGGATTTAAAAGTGAGTTTCTCGACCTACTAGTTGTAAGACTTGTAGAAATTTTTTAATATTACTAAGTTTATTGGTACATTTTAGGTGTGCAATATAATGACATTCATCATTGGGAATTTGCACCTTTACATAGTCTCTCTTGGTTACTTTTTCCCCCTTCCCCTGCCCTCCCTTCAACCCCTCCATCCCTCTCTATCTACAAAGACTTTCTTTCCATTTTTTTCATTTTCTCATATTAATTCCATTATTCCCTTCTTTCCTTTCCCCTACCCCTCCCACTTCCCCTTTACCCCTTTTCTTACTATTTCACATTATTTATTTTACCTTTTAGCCCTTATTTACACTTTTAGTTTCTCACACCAGAGAAACTATTTGATATTTACACATATGTTTCCTATTTATTTCACTTAAGAGTATCGCCTCAATGTGCAACCATTTAGCTATAAATGTCTCTAATTTCTCATTCTTATGGCTGGGTAGTACTCCATTTTATAGAAAAACCATGTTTTCTTTATCCAGTATCCAGTTAATGGGCAATTGGGCTGTTTCCAAGCTTTAGCTGTCACAAACTGTGCTGCTGTGAACAGGGGTGCACATATATCACTGTGGTATGATTCTTTTAATTCTTTGGGGAAGATCCCCAGCAG